GAACCCCGTTTTCCAAAGTAAGGGAGTTCCATTGTGCCCAGTAGGACTTAACCACTGGCGAATAACCTGCTACCTCCTGCCACGATGGTCTTCGGTTACTTTTCTTCCACCCGATGACTAAACCAAGATCTGGATCTTTCTCTTGGTCTTCCTTCATTTTATTATCCTCCCAGTTGTCGTCCACAGCTCCAGCTCTACAAATAGCTGCTTTCTTCTCTTCTGCTCGTCGGCAATGTGAGCAGTCATCGGGGCATGGTCTCCGCGACAGGGCATCTGCGTTTTTATGGCTAGTCCCAGCTCGATGTTCGATTTCGAAGTCAAATTCTTGTAGTCTCTCAATCCAGCGCGCTACTTGGCCCTCGGGATTTTTGAACTGCAGAAGCTATTTGAGAGCCGCATGTTACGTTCTCAACAGAAATCTTCTTCCATACACGTATTTCTAGAAATGTTCTACACCTTCGACAACGGCTAACAGCTCTCGCCTGATGACACAATAATTACGCTCTGGATTACTTAGCGTTTTGCTGAAGTAGCCAATAACTTTCTCCTGTCCATCCTGGATCTGAGAAAGGACTGCTTCAAGTCCCACGTTGCTGGCGTCCGTATCTAAAATAAACTTTCCGTCAGGTAGAGGATAGCTCAAAACAGGAGCGTTGATTAAAGCTCTTTTCAACTTCTTGAATGAGTCTTGGCATTCCTCAAACCACTGGAACTGGATCTGCTCTTCTGTGAGTCGGGTCAATGGTTTGGCGATGTTGGCAAACCCCAGCACGTACCTGGGGTAGTAGGTGCATAGACCAAGGAAGCTCCGAAGCTGATGTATGTCTTTTGGAATGGGCCAATCCTCAACTGCTTTGATCTTTTGTTCGTCCACTGCCACTCCTTCCCCAGAGACAACGTGGCCAAGGTAACGGACTTCTTTCTGAAATAGATGGCATTTCTTGGGACCAAGTTTCAATCCAGAACTTCTCAGACGCATGAATACCTCCTCCAGATTTTTTAAGTGGTCGTCGAACGATTTTCCGACCACGATTATATCGTCAAGATACACTAGACACGTCTTCCATGAGAGCCCCTTGAAAACCGTCTCCATCAATCTCTCGAAGGTCGCTGGAGCATTACAAAGCCTGAATGGCATCACCGTGAACTGCCACAATCCTGAGCCGATGTTGAAAGCAGTATTTTCTCGATCTTCTGGGGCCAATTCAACTTGCCAATATCCATTCTTCAAATCCAAAGTGAAGAAAATTGTGGAGCCGGCTAGCGTGACTAGGGTGTCGTCGATTCTTGGAAGAGGGTAGCTGTCTTTCTTCGCCACGTGATTTAGTTGGCGATAATCCTCGCAGAACCTTGTCGAGCCGTCCTTCTTCTTCATTAATACGACTGGGGAAGACCAGAGGCTGTCAGAAGGTTCGATGACTCTTTCTTTTTCCATATCGCTGACTATCTTGTCTGCCTTTTCTTTCTTCGCAAGGGGGAGTCTTCTAGCTGATTACCGGATTAGTCGGGCATTCCCAGGGTCGATCCTATGCTGGACCACATTCGTTCTGCCGCCGTTTCTTTCTCCAATATCGAAGATCTCTTGGTACTTCTTGACTAACTCCCTCAGTTTTGATCGGTGAGTTGGTGGTATGTCCTTGGAGGAAATGTCAATCAACTTCTCCAACTCTTTAGGCAAGTTGTTGGCTTGGCTAACAGAACTGCGTATACTCCGTATCACAGAGGAAATGGACGAACAGTGCCCCAGCATGGTTCCTTTCTTCAAGGTCACGGGAAAGTAGTTGATATTCATGACCCTGACTGGCACAACTTTATCAACACGCAACAGGGTCTTCCCCAGTGCGATTCCTCGTCCAATTTTCTCATCGTGTATCTTGGGCTCGAACGTTACCACCTTGCCGCTGCTCGCACTTCCGTCCAAGCGAGCCTCCAGGATGGTTTCAGCCCTTTCAGGTACGCACACGTCTTCAGCCAACAGGACCCTGATCCTCTCTTCGTTCCTTCCATGAAGCACCAGCTCTTCTCCGCCGACACGTAGGACGCCGTCTTGAAAATTCAGCTCGAACCCTCTGGAATTCATCATGTCCATTCCAATGATCGCACCGTCTTTGATGTCCGCCACCAATGCACGATGTTTCAATTTCGTGCTGCCCAACACCAATTCAATTGGTAGTTCTCCAAGTACAGTGGCTGGCACCCCTGTTGCGGTGCGTAGCTTCCAGCTTGACGGTTCAATTCTTGCCGGTGTTTTGGCAAAGGTTGGCCCAAGAATGATTCTCGTCGCACCTGTATCTAGCAGCATGGTGAAAGGCCCGTTGTTGATGAGGCCGTCTACGAAAACACCTTTGTCTTGTCGTTGGAGAACGGCAACATATGCGTTTTTTATGGGGGCTTGCTGGGTACAGGCCGACGATTGCCCCTTCTCCTCGACCCCCTAGTTTTCCTGATGTGGTGTCGATTCTTTGAAAGCTGGACATTTGCTACGTACATGTCCAATTTTCCCATAGTTCTAGCATCTGAAAATCAGCTACCAAGCCCAAATAAGGAAACAGGCGCGCAAAGGAGGGTTACAAATAAGGCAGCAGCGCACGTATTGATAAAAAAAATACTTTTTTCAAATGACCAAATACACGTAAAGTGAGTTCGAATTATATCAAGGAGGTTACGAACAGTGTTATTTACGTGATATTATTTTTTATTTGAAAATATAAATCTGATATGAAAAATTATTTTGTGCTAGTATAATGCCAACTCAGCATTGCTGTTTTGCGAATTGTATGTCGGATAATCAATATCCGGAAGAAAACGTGTTTTTCATACCATTTATAAAACCTCATATTGATGAGATTGGATGTAAGAAATGGATACATGCTTCGAGGAGAGTGGATTTAACAGTGCAAAAAATAAATAAATAACCATATATATGTAAAAAAGAAAGAAAATAAAAATGAAAAGTGAAGAGATTCCAAGTCACGTTAGTTCACGACGTTTCGATTGTTAGTATCTACAATCGTCTTCGGGTGATGACTGGACTGATTCCTCCGAGAGATGACTATTTATAGGTCGTTCAAGTACTTTCACTTATCCCCGCTTTCCATTTTCCGCTTCACTGGTTCCGTGGGAGATGACCGTTTTGGCGGGAGTTGGCCAT